AGCACAAACCTGCAACGGTCATCTCTTGCTTGCAGCCTCCGCATCACATGCTCTCACGCACTCACCCCTCTTATTCGGAACATGTTGAAGGCGTCTAGAAGAGGAGTGGATGGAGCCACAGAGACCATCGATTGCTACCAGCACAAACCTGCAACGGTCATCTCTTGCTTGCAGCCTCCGCATCACATGCTCTCACGCACTCACCCCTCTTATTCGGAACATGTTGAAGGCGTCTAGAAGAGGAGAAGATGGAGCCACAGAGACCATCGATTGCTACCAGCACAAACCTGCAACGGTCATCTCTTGCTTGCAGCCTCCGCATCACATGCTCTCACGCACTCACCCCTCTTATTCGGAACATGTTGAAGGCGTCTAGAAGAGGAGAGGATGGAGCCACAGAGACCATCGATTGCTACCAGCACAAACCTGCAACGGTCATCTCTTGCTTGCAGCCTCCGCATCACATGCTCTCACGCACTCACCCCTCTTATTCGGAACATGTTGAAGGCGTCTAGAAGAGGAGTGGATGGAGCCACAGAGACCATCGATTGCTACCAGCACAAACCTGCAACGGTCATCTCTTGCTTGCAGCCTCCGCATCACATGCTCTCACGCACTCACCCCTCTTATTCGGAACATGTTGAAGGCGTCTAGAAGAGGAGTGGATGGAGCCACAGAGACCATCGATTGCTACCAGCACAAACCTGCAACGGTCATCTCTTGCTTGCAGCCTCCGCATCACATGCTCTCACGCACTCACCCCTCTTATTCGGAACATGTTGAAGGCGTCTAGAAGAGGAGAAGATGGAGCCACAGAGACCATCGATTGCTACCAGCACAAACCTGCAACGGTCATCTCTTGCTTGCAGCCTCCGCATCACATGCTCTCACGCACTCACCCCTCTTATTCGGAACATGTTGAAGGCGTCTAGAAGAGGAGAGGATGGAGCCACAGAGACCATCGATTGCTACCAGCACAAACCTGCAACGGTCATCTCTTGCTTGCAGCCTCCGCATCACATGCTCTCACGCACTCACCCCTCTTATTCGGAACATGTTGAAGGCGTCTAGAAGAGGAGTGGATGGAGCCACAGAGACCATCGATTGCTACCAGCACAAACCTGCAACGGTCATCTCTTGCTTGCAGCCTCCGCATCACATGCTCTCACGCACTCACCCCTCTTATTCGGAACATGTTGAAGGCGTCTAGAAGAGGAGTGGATGGAGCCACAGAGACCATCGATTGCTACCAGCACAAACCTGCAACGGTCATCTCTTGCTTGCAGCCTCCGCATCACATGCTCTCACGCACTCACCCCTCTTATTCGGAACATGTTGAAGGCGTCTAGAAGAGGAGTGGATGGAGCCACAGAGACCATCGATTGCTACCAGCACAAACCTGCAACGGTCATCTCTTGCTTGCAGCCTCCGCATCACATGCTCTCACGCACTCACCCCTCTTATTCGGAACATGTTGAAGGCGTCTAGAAGAGGAGTGGATGGAGCCACAGAGACCATCGATTGCTACCAGCACAAACCTGCAACGGTCATCTCTTGCTTGCAGCCTCCGCATCACATGCTCTCACGCACTCACCCCTCTTATTCGGAACATGTTGAAGGCGTCTAGAAGAGGAGAAGATGGAGCCACAGAGACCATCGATTGCTACCAGCACAAACCTGCAACGGTCATCTCTTGCTTGCAGCCTCCGCATCACATGCTCTCACGCACTCACCCCTCTTATTCGGAACATGTTGAAGGCGTCTAGAAGAGGAGAGGATGGAGCCACAGAGACCATCGATTGCTACCAGCACAAACCTGCAACGGTCATCTCTTGCTTGCAGCCTCCGCATCACATGCTCTCACGCACTCACCCCTCTTATTCGGAACATGTTGAAGGCGTCTAGAAGAGGAGAGGATGGAGCCACAGAGACCATCGATTGCTACCAGCACAAACCTGCAACGGTCATCTCTTGCTTGCAGCCTCCGCATCACATGCTCTCACGCACTCACCCCTCTTATTCGGAACATGTTGAAGGCGTCTAGAAGAGGAGAGGATGGAGCCACAGAGACCATCGATTGCTACCAGCACAAACCTGCAACGGTCATCTCTTGCTTGCAGCCTCCGCATCACATGCTCTCACGCACTCACCCCTCTTATTCGGAACATGTTGAAGGCGTCTAGAAGAGGAGAGGATGGAGCCACAGAGACCATCGATTGCTACCAGCACAAACCTGCAACGGTCATCTCTTGCTTGCAGCCTCCGCATCACATGCTCTCACGCACTCACCCCTCTTATTCGGAACATGTTGAAGGCGTCTAGAAGAGGAGAGGATGGAGCCACAGAGACAATCGATTGCTACCAGCACAAACCTGCAACGGTCATCTCTTGCTTGCAGCCTCCGCATCACATGCTCTCACGCACTCACCCCTCTTATTCGGAACATGTTGAAGGCGTCTAGAAGAGGAGTGGATGGAGCCACAGAGACCATCGATTGCTACCAGCACAAACCTGCAACGGTCATCTCTTGCTTGCAGCCTCCGCATCACATGCTCTCACGCACTCACCCCTCTTATTCGGAACATGTTGAAGGCGTCTAGAAGAGGAGTGGATGGAGCCACAGAGACCATCGATTGCTACCAGCACAAACCTGCAACGGTCATCTCTTGCTTGCAGCCTCCGCATCACATGCTCTCACGCACTCACCCCTCTTATTCGGAACATGTTGAAGGCGTCTAGAAGAGGAGTGGATGGAGCCACAGAGACCATCGATTGCTACCAGCACAAACCTGCAACGGTCATCTCTTGCTTGCAGCCTCCGCATCACATGCTCTCACGCACTCACCCCTCTTATTCGGAACATGTTGAAGGCGTCTAGAAGAGGAGAAGATGGAGCCACAGAGACCATCGATTGCTACCAGCACAAACCTGCAACGGTCATCTCTTGCTTGCAGCCTCCGCATCACATGCTCTCACGCACTCACCCCTCTTATTCGGAACATGTTGAAGGCGTCTAGAAGAGGAGAGGATGGAGCCACAGAGACCATCGATTGCTACCAGCACAAACCTGCAACGGTCATCTCTTGCTTGCAGCCTCCGCATCACATGCTCTCACGCACTCACCCCTCTTATTCGGAACATGTTGAAGGCGTCTAGAAGAGGAGTGGATGGAGCCACAGAGACCATCGATTGCTACCAGCACAAACCTGCAACGGTCATCTCTTGCTTGCAGCCTCCGCATCACATGCTCTCACGCACTCACCCCTCTTATTCGGAACATGTTGAAGGCGTCTAGAAGAGGAGTGGATGGAGCCACAGAGACCATCGATTGCTACCAGCACAAACCTGCAACGGTCATCTCTTGCTTGCAGCCTCCGCATCACATGCTCTCACGCACTCACCCCTCTTATTCGGAACATGTTGAAGGCGTCTAGAAGAGGAGTGGATGGAGCCACAGAGACCATCGATTGCTACCAGCACAAACCTGCAACGGTCATCTCTTGCTTGCAGCCTCCGCATCACATGCTCTCACGCACTCACCCCTCTTATTCGGAACATGTTGAAGGCGTCTAGAAGAGGAGTGGATGGAGCCACAGAGACCATCGATTGCTACCAGCACAAACCTGCAACGGTCATCTCTTGCTTGCAGCCTCCGCATCACATGCTCTCACGCACTCACCCCTCTTATTCGGAACATGTTGAAGGCGTCTAGAAGAGGAGTGGATGGAGCCACAGAGACCATCGATTGCTACCAGCACAAACCTGCAACGGTCATCTCTTGCTTGCAGCCTCCGCATCACATGCTCTCACGCACTCACCCCTCTTATTCGGAACATGTTGAAGGCGTCTAGAAGAGGAGTGGATGGAGCCACAGAGACCATCGATTGCTACCAGCACAAACCTGCAACGGTCATCTCTTGCTTGCAGCCTCCGCATCACATGCTCTCACGCACTCACCCCTCTTATTCGGAACATGTTGAAGGCGTCTAGAAGAGGAGTGGATGGAGCCACAGAGACCATCGATTGCTACCAGCACAAACCTGCAACGGTCATCTCTTGCTTGCAGCCTCCGCATCACATGCTCTCACGCACTCACCCCTCTTATTCGGAACATGTTGAAGGCGTCTAGAAGAGGAGTGGATGGAGCCACAGAGACCATCGATTGCTACCAGCACAAACCTGCAACGGTCATCTCTTGCTTGCAGCCTCCGCATCACATGCTCTCACGCACTCACCCCTCTTATTCGGAACATGTTGAAGGCGTCTAGAAGAGGAGTGGATGGAGCCACAGAGACCATCGATTGCTACTAGCACAAACCTGCAACGGTCATCTCTTGCTTGCAGCCTCCGCATCACATGCTCTCACGCACTCACCCCTCTTATTCGGAACATGTTGAAGGCGTCTAGAAGAGGAGAGGATGGAGCCACAGAGACCATCGATTGCTACCAGCACAAACCTGCAACGGTCATCTCTTGCTTGCAGCCTCCGCATCACATGCTCTCACGCACTCACCCCTCTTATTCGGAACATGTTGAAGGCGTCTAGAAGAGGAGAGGATGGAGCCACAGAGACCATCGATTGCTACCAGCACAAACCTGCAACGGTCATCTCTTGCTTGCAGCCTCCGCATCACATGCTCTCACGCACTCACCCCTCTTATTCGGAACATGTTGAAGGCGTCTAGAAGAGGAGTGGATGGAGCCACAGAGACCATCGATTGCTACCAGCACAAACCTGCAACGGTCATCTCTTGCTTGCAGCCTCCGCATCACATGCTCTCACGCACTCACCCCTCTTATTCGGAACATGTTGAAGGCGTCTAGAAGAGGAGTGGATGGAGTCACAGAGACGAAAAATTCAAGCGCACACCCACTATGGTCCTCTACTGCTTGCAGCCTCTTTGGAGCCTCTTTGGAGCCTCTTTGGAGCCTCTTTGGAGCCTCTTTGGAGCCTCTTTGGAGCCTCTTTGGAGCCTCTGCTATAACACGCACTCACTCACCCCTCTTATTCGGAACATGTTGAATGCGTCTAGAAGAGGAGTGGATGGAGTCACCGAGACCACAGATGGCCAGACCAGCCCAATGTCATCGATGCTGCAATGCAGGGAGGAGCGGGGAAGAAAATGCGAAAGAGAGAAAAGAAACATGTTGAATGCGTCTAGAAGAGGAGTGGATGGAGTCACCAAGACCACAGAGGGCCAGACTAGCCCAATGTCGTCAATGCTGCAATGCAGGGATGAGCGGGGAAGATAAGAATGTGAGCAAGTGGAGAAAAAAGGAACACGACCGATGGCCAGAACAGACCAGCCCAATGTAGTCGATGCTGCAAACATCAATGTCAAAAAGCATGAGAGGAAGGAATTCTGAGACCACAGTTTTGAACAGCTCACAAACGAGGAAAGATCTCGAACCTGTGACCTTCGCGTTATTAGCACGACGCTCTAACCAGCTGAGCTAATAGGCCTGTTTCCGTGCTCAGAAACAGTGTTTTTGTCCGTTGTGTTTTTGTCCGTTGTGTTTTTGTCCGTTGTGTTTTTGTCCGTTGTTGTTTTAAACCTGACAGCTGTCACTGCAATGATCCTGGCACGACTATGGCCCTACTATGGCCTGGTTTTGGTGTCATCATACCTTGGCCAGGTAGTGAGAGGCCCAGCAGCATCCCCTCACAGAAGCAGCATGTGACAGGCGTGAATGTGACTCCTCAATGCACCTCTTAGCCAGTGCCAGCCCCAGCAGCTCCTCGTGCGTCAGGATGAATGCAGCAATGCTCATCTGGGACAGCACTCGGTACTCCTCCCCCCTGGTACAAGCATGGAGGAGGTTTGCTCGTGCCTTACCTTTTAGCCAGTGCCAAGCCCAGCAGCCCCTCGTGCTTGAGCATGAACGCAGCAAAGTCCATCTGGGAGCACTCGGTGTTCCTCCCCTGCCTCACCCCCCCCCCCCCCCCCCCCCTGCAGCAACACAGCCATGTAGTGGGCTGAGCTGAGCGTAGCACACGGTACTCCTTATGCTTCACCATGGAAGCAGCAATGTCTATCTGAGAGACAGACAGCACAAGGTAGTCCTCCCTGTCCCCCCCTCCCCTGGCGGCACAGCCATGGCAGTGGTCTGATCATACCTCTTAGCCAACGCCAGTCCTGGCAGAAAACAAGAAAAAGTGGCCCATACAGGTCTCGAACCTGTGACCTTCGCGTTATTAGCACGACGCTCTAACCAGCTGAGCTAATAGGCCTGTGATTCGGAGAACAGCACAATTTCTATGTATACTACTCGGTACTGCTCCCCTCTGTCCCCTTTTCAAACCCTATGCCCTCCTAGCTGCTACTGCAACAGCACAGGCTCTGATCATACCTTCTAGGTAGTGGCTACTACCAGGCATGGGCATGGGGCGACCTACTTCATACCTTTTAGCCAGAGCCAAGCCCAGCAGCCCCTCGTGTTTGAGCATGAACGCAGCAATGTCCATCTGTGACAGCACTCGGTACTCCTCCCCTGCCGCACCCCCTTCTCCTCCTCCCAGGCGCGACTGCAGCAGCGCAGGCATGGGCATGGCGGTGGTGTGATCGTGGTCCTGAGGGCAGATGTTTGGAACAAGGGCGCGGTGGAAGCCTCTAGAACCCAGCATCTCCATGGCTTGGAGCACGCTGCGAGGGGGGATGGAGGACGGAAGGGGAAGGGCGTGTGGGGTGTAACGCCGTGCCGTGGCCTGATGGTGCTCTAATCGTGGTATTGCGGCACACGTTGGGAACGAGGGCGCGGTGAAAGCCTCTAGAACCCAGCATCTCCATGGCTTGGAGCACGCTGCGAGGGGGGATGGAGGACGGAAGGGGAAGGGCGTGTGGGGTGTAACGCCGTGCCGTGGCCTGATGGTGCTCTAATCGTGGTATCGCGGCACACGTTGGGAACGGGGGCGCGGTGAAAGCCTCTAGAACCCAGCATCTCCATGGCTTGGGGTACCCCGAGAGAGGGGTTACAGGGCGGAAGGAGAAGGGCGTGTGGGGTGTATTGCCGTGCTGTGGTCGCCATTCGAGGTGAGGTGGCTTCCAGTCGACTCAAAATTGAGGTGAGTTTTGAGGCGCCTCAAAACTCACCTCAATGCTCGTAGAAGGGCTTGTGGGGTGCATGCCGTGCTGTGGTCGCCATTCGAGGTGAGGTGGCTTCCAGTCGACTCATGTGGCATGAGGGTCAATCAAGCATGGGAAGAACAAGTTTCGCCCATTTTCCCCGATATTTCTTCCTTATTTCAGAAACACCTCTCCTCCATACATCTTTCTCTCGCCCTCACTCACGTGGCATGGGGGTCCAGCACGAGCATGGTGCGAGTCTCCTCCGTCTTCCCCATCACCGCCACCACTAGAGGTGGCTTCTGAGGGTGAAGAAAATGCATCGTGCAAGCTCCCTCCCCTCCCTATCAAGCCCTCACTCACGTGGCATGGGGGTCCAGCACGAGCATGGTGCGAGTCTCCTCCGTCTTCCCCATCACATCAGCCACTCGAGCCTCTTTCAGCCACTCCAGCTGCCCAATCCCGCCGCTCCCATCCATTCCTCCGCCCGTTCCTCCCCCGGTCCCCCTTCCTCCACCTGCACTCCCTCCCCTCTCAGTTACTCCCCCTTCACCCCTTCCTCTCCCCTCACCCCCTCCTCCTCTTTCGCCCATTTCCTCGCCTCCCCCTTCCGTTTCTTCAGGCCGCTCCTGAATCGACTCCAGGCCGCTACTCCCGCCACAGCTGGCGCTGGCAGTGCTGGCAGTGGTGGCAGTGGTGGCAGTGCTGGCAGTGCTGTTGCTGCTGCTGGTGCTGCAGCGTCTGGCGATGAAAATGGTTATGTCTATGACGGAGATCTGCCATGGAATGAGACATGGATGAACATCCAGGACATCAGTCACCATTGAGAGTTTTTTTTTTTTTTTTTTGTTACTGAATCATTAATCAATGTAAGAGATTCGCAACAGTGACCCCAACCCGAGCCGCGAATGGGCATCCACTAAACCAGACCCATTTTGTGTTTACTCTTTTTTGTTGTCTCTCCCAATAGTGACTCTAGTATAAGCCGCGGATGGATATCATCTTGTGTTGCTCTATTTTACCACGCCCTTTCTCCTTCGGGAACTCACCATAATTAAATTGATAAAGAAAAATGGCGACAGTTGAGTTGCTCTATACCACCACGCTCTCCTCCGGGAACTCACCATTCCAGTGAAACAGACTCTCGAAGGAGCAATAATTGACCGCGGGTAATTCTGCGTGCGCCGCGTAGAGGCGGAAATCGCCGACATCTGCGCGAGCAGGCGTCTCTGTGCGACTTGCGCCAATGACGGCGAGGAACGGACGGGCATGGCGGTGATGTCGTGGCGGCGGAGGAGGTCTAACGCGTTATAAAGTGATGCGTTAGCGTCTACGGAAATGAGGCATTTCTTTCCTGCTACAATGTCCTGGACGCATGTTGAGCGTAGCACTGTCGCCATAATCTGCTAATTCGCGGAAAGTACAGCTCGGTAAGGTGGACTTTGATGTAGAAATTGATTAATTATATATTGACAGATGAACAAGCTAAGGATTCAAAGCTACTATGGGGAAAAGCAATGCTATTGAATGGTACAGACATACGGGCAAGGTGTGGTCGAAATCAAGAATCGTGGATTGAATGTGCAGAACAAGAGAAGCATCTGACTTGCTCTTGGGTATAGGCTTCTTGAATGAGCAGAAATATTTCGAAGGCGTATTCAGAAGTTTGTTCAGGCAGGCAAGTTGAAACAACCTGGTTCGCAAGTCGTCTCGAATGTCATGGATGAGGGAGACAAGGTCGGTGTTGTTTGTGTGGCAGACCTTGCACCTTCGACAGTCATTTTGTGCACCTCACTGAGGGTGAGATACGTCCCCAGTGCAACTGAGCTCGAAACCCGAACTTCTCGATCCACAGTCCAAGTCACGTTGACGCGGCATGTGAAGGAATTGACGTGTCGCTGGAAAGAGTTATTGTACTGTGTTCTCCTGCATGACGTGCCTCCAATATCGTCCAGCCTGGCATTATTAAATCGAGTGTTACTATAAAATATAGCTAATTCAGCAATATACCGGAGCAGATAATATATATATCCCTTACCAAGGCTGGTAATTTTGTGTACAGTGACGTCATCGCATGATGTGGAGTTACCCACAAGCGCAGCAGACTCTGACGCAGCAAGAAAAGGTACAAGGCTGTCACTTTTCTCCAGCACGATCCCGATATTCCCTATCATCGCCACGCCGACCACACACACCAATGAGGCTCGTGGTGGCCAGGTCGGAGGGCGACGTCATCAAAAGCGCTTCAGAGCAAAGGTCAGCTATTGGTGGCCACAATGCGCCACCAATAGCACGGGAAGCAGAGGCTGACGACGTCATCACATCGTTTTAAGGTGATCTTCAATTGTTGGTACCACCAGGGCAACTAAACTTTCCACTATCAAGCCGAAGGGGCGGTTCATTGTCGGGCTCTGCAACCAGGCTACTGGGAGGGAAGTGGCTAGGTGTCTCGGGCACATAGGGCCCCTCCCTGCTAGCAATCTTCCACCTCCCACCCAGCAAAAAGTGGCCTCACGAATCCTTTGATAGAAATTTCACTCGGAAAAGGGGAAGTGTGAAACCAAATTTACCTGCTAATGGAGTTCCCCAGAGATGCACGCACAGATCGAAGAAGCAACAATTGCTCGAGTCTTTCTTGAAACGGAGTTGAGAGCGGCCTTACTAGGTTCAGCTGTTAAAGGCAAGGATGCAGTACGTTTTCAGGTATGTTTGGCGCAAGGTCCTTGCAATCACCAACATGTTGTGCGGGTCCGCTGCAAGACGTGCTTGTTGAACTACTCCAGTTTTCCCTATCAAGAATGTATTTCCCAACTTTGGAGTCCTCAGGATTCCTTGCAGACTCTAAGCACTCGCGTCGCGTCTGCGAACTCCTAACTCAAGGTTTATTTATAGCTACTTTCCTAATTTCCTTGACTTCGGTGACTCTTTTCCCACCATCACCATGTCTTCCGCCTCGTCTGTCCGGCTGAATGTGCGCAACACCGCATGTCAGAGCACTAACTTGAAATGCACTGACAGACGATCTCAACGTGAATCTTCAGCCAAAGTGACGTCCTTAGCGCTGCGTTCCAGACCCACCGCCTCTGCTAGGTTGACTTGCACTTGTCAAGCCAGCTCGTCTCCTTTGTCGACTTCATCTTCAGACTCTCAAGCGCTTAAGGGTCGAAATTTGAAAATACCCGCGAGAGACGGTGTACAAGCCGAAGCTTCAGCTTCCACCATTGCTCCTGTCGACACTCCATCCGCCATAAGCACATCCTCGATACCCACAGCGATCGATAATTTTCCCTTATGTCCGAATCCTCTTCCTGATACCCAGCCTGCTCGAGCCGTGGTATCCTTAGAACGGGGAATCAACAAGCTGATAACCGACGCCGCGTTTCACATCCTGAACGCCTTTTACGGGACGACGGAGCGCGCGTACGCTCGGTTCTACGTCCTCGAAACGATCGCGCGCGTTCCGTACTTCTCGTACGTTTCGATCCTCCATCTGTACGAGAGCTTCGGCTGGTGGCGACGGATCGAGTTCCTTAAAGCCCACTTCGACGAGAGCGTGAACGAGACGCATCATCTCATGATCATGGAGTCTCTCGGCGGCGACCGGAGCTGGGTGGATCGGTTCGTCGCGCAGCACATCGCCGTGGGTTACTACTTTTTCGCCATCTTCTGTTACCTGATCAGCCCTCGCATGGCGTATCATCTATCGGAGCTGGTGGAGGAGCATGCGTACGAGACGTACGATAAGTTCCTCATGAGCCAAGGCGACTTTCTCAAGACGCAGCCTGCTCCTGAGGTAGTACACCCTATCCTCGTTACTATCGATTCAGCTCTCATTGTGCAGCTCCTCTTTGCGGTGTATACCCGTTCTATATCACGCTTTACATGACCGGATTCTTACAGCTCACCACTCTTTCGGAGTTAGCTCCGTTGGCAGACCATGTCTCCCTTCAGTCTTCCTTCAGCCACCCGGATTCTGACTCACTCTCGAAACTTCCTTCACCCCCGGTTCTGATCCTAACTGTTTCTCCTTCACGTTTCCCTCCTGTTCAGATAGCGGTGAGTTACTATAACGGGGGTAACCTGTACCGCTTCGACGGGTTTCAGATGCAGGCTGATACGGAGCGGCCATCCCCGCGCGTGGAGAGTCTGTACGACGTGTTTGTGAACATCCGAGACGACGAGGCGGAGCACTGCAAGACCATGCGCGCCTGCCAGGCCGCGCAGACAGGCAGAGGTGAGCTGGCAGCAAGGAACTCTGAGGTTGGGAAAGGTGGGCTTGCAACAGGGAGACGTGAGCTCGAAACTGGGCGAGTCTGAAATAGGGAAACGGCAGCTTGCTACACTGAAAGGTGAGCATGCCACTGGGGGAAGGGGAAGTTGCAGGGAGCACATGACACGGAGCGACTGAGCCCGCGCGTGGAGAGTCTGTAGAGAGTCTGTACGACATGTTTGTGAACATCCGAGACGACGAGGCGGAGCACTGCAAGACCATGCGCGCCTACCAGGCGGCGCAGACAGGCAAAGGTGAGCTTGCGTGCCTGATGGGTTTGCCTTGGAGTGGGAATAAGTGGGCGTGTTTCCAGTCAGCTTCCAATCGCACTTGCATGACGAGGCGGAGCACTGCAAGACCATGCGCGCCTGCCAGGTTGCACAGTCAGGCAAAGGTGAGCTTGGCTTGCAGCAAGGAAAGTGATGGGGAAACGTGAGCCTGACAGTGCTTTGAGTCAACTTCTAAACACACTGAACCGACAAGTCGAGCACTGCAAGACCATGCGCGCCTGCCAGGCGGTGCAGACGGGGAAAGGTGAGCTTGGCTGCAAGGTGGGCTGCTTGCATTGGAGTGCGAACAATGTAGGCTTGCGTGGCTGTCTAATGAGTCAACTTACATGTGCACTTGCACGACGAGGCGGAGCACTGCAAGACCATGCACGCCTGCCAGGCGGCGCAGACAGGCAAAGGTGAGCTGGTAGCAAAGAAAGGTGAGTTGGCATCAAGGAATGGTGAGCTTGCAGCAGGGAAAGGTGAGGACTTGTTGTGACTTGAAGCTGAGCTTCAAGAATCACCTTGTGTCTGTGTGTCTGTCTGTGTGTCTCCCTGTGTTTGGTGTGGTGGTTGCTTGCAGGGCTGCACGATGTGGGGTGCTCGGGCGTGGTGGAATGTGCCGTGAACTCAACTTCTGCTGCTGACAGGATGCCCACGGATTAGTAACATTTATGTAGTTGATGTACGGTAGCATGAATCCCCACTACACATACCTCAGAATGTCAAGAATATCAGGTGCTGTTAACTGTTTCCGTACTATTATAGCACCTTTTAACCACATGACGTGAACTGTGCTGAGGAGAAGTTCTTACCGATTTGAACCAGGAACACTCAAAAAATGTCTGTGGTCAGAAAATGCAGTTTCGTAATCCATAGTATTGCTCGATATTTTAAATTATGGAAGCTGCCACAATGACCCTAGTTCGGTATCATTTATAGCTTTATGTGCAAGGATCTAAACCCAAATTATTGCAGGGCTGAACAATTTTATTCCAAGCTTACCTTACCTCTAGCCTATGGTAACGGTAATATTCCTGCTTAATAAAGCAGTGTATTGTATAGCATTTCCAGCCACTCGTCTGTTACGCCAGCTTCACACCAGTGCAGACAATCTTGCTTTCCAGTGTTACCGCCTGCCCAGGGGTAAATAAGGTAGAAAGAGTGTTTGACAAAAATAGAAACATAAAATATCAAGCTCGTGCTAAAAAACACAACCCATATTTTAAAACACAGTACAGTGACGCACCTGGTACATTCCATTTCGATACATGCCCATCTGGCCGCCAGAAGCTCATTGGTAACACATCCACGTAACGCAGCCGTGACCCTTTCAGCACCTGCAGCTGCACCTTTCGCATTTCAAACGACCGGCTGTCCATCCTCCTCACTTCCTTCGTCTGAATGGAGAAGGGTGGGAGGAGCGGAGAAAGGAAGGGAACGGGAAGGTGTGGAAGAACAGAGATGCTTTCAGTACCTGCAGCTGCACCTTTCGCATTTCAAACGACCGGCTGTCCATCCTCCTCACTTCCTTCGTCTGCTTAGAAGGTAAGGCAGGGGGGAGGAAAGTAGGTGGAAAATTTCAGAGAAGTTTATATATTTTGATCCTATCAGCTGCACAGTTCAGACAATCAACTGCTCGTTTTCATTATTCTATGAAGTAATTGCTCACCTGGTTCCAGTTGAGATGCGTGCTAATGTCGCATCTCCCCATCTTAATCCCCGGCACCGGCACGATATAGTGCGAAGGAGACAACACCCATCACCACCACCTTCCCTCCGAGGCGCCCCAAAAGTCCTCACCCCAGGCACCGGCACCTTTGAGGCGCTTCAAAGAACATTTCTGGAGTAGCTGCTTACCTGGTTCCAGTCAAGACGCGTGTTAATGTCGCATTTCCCCATCTTAATCCCCGGCACCGGCACGATATAGTGCGAAGGAGACACTCCCATAACCACCGCCTTCCCCGTAAACCCCGACCGAGCCACAAAGTCCCGTAAACTCGCAAGCCCGATCGCATACGCGGCGTTTCGGGTGATTTTCTGCTGCCTGCCGCCTAGAAACCACTGGTTGTCTTGCGCGTACCACCAATTAGTCGCCTGGAAAATAACTATGTCGGCTTTCGGGAGGAGGTCTTTAATCTTCGGGTCGATCTGGTCGAGGAATACTCGCCGTGCTTGCTGCTGCGCTTGGGTTGAGACTCTGCCTGGTTTGTTTCCGGAACTCGCTCCTCCTGCTGCTCTTGCTGCTGCTGCTGTTGCTGATGATTCTCCTGCTTCTCCTGATGTTGCCGCTGCTGCTGCTGCTGCTGCTGCTCTTAATACCGGTGGCGATCCTGCTTCAGCAGCAGCAGCAGCAGCAGCAGCCATTGTGGTGGCTCGTGCAATGGCTGCTTCGGTCGCCACTGCTCTAGCTGCTTCTGATTCTGCTTCCTCCCTTCCAGTAGCAGACGCAGCAGTAGCGTAAGACGCAGCACTGGCACCACCATTAGCACCAACACCAGCACCAACACGATTAGCACCAACAGCAGCAGCAGCAGGAGGTTGGGATGCATGGGGGATGAACCCGATGTTGTTGAGGTGCGAGGAGAAGAGCGACGCGATGCGGATGTTCTGAGGGTCAACCTGTGGATGAGAGGCGGATTGGGGAGGGGAGAGATAAGGGAGAGGGATCAAGGGAGGTTGGGATGCATCGGGAATGAATCCAATGCGGTTGAGATGCGAAGAGAAGAGCGACGCTATGCGGATGTTCTGAGGATCCACCTGATAGGGGGGTAAATGGGGAGTAAATGGGGAGGATAGAGATAGGGGAGAGGGATCAATCAAGGGAGGTTGGGATGCATCGGGGATGAACCCGATGTTGTTGAGGTGCGAGGAGAAGAGCCACACTATGCGGATGTTCTGAGGATCCACCTGCGGATGGGTGTATTGGGGAAGGGAGTGAGATGGGGGAGTGAATGGGGAGTGAAGGGTTGGGAGATGCGGGAGCGAGAGAGATGAAGGAGGGAGGTTGGGATGCATGGGGGATGAACCCGATGTTGTTGAGGTGCGAGGAGAAGAGCCACACTATGCGGATGTTCTGAGGGTCCACCTGGACACGCGAAGGTATGGGGAGGTTAGTGAGATGTGGGAGGGAGGAGGGGAGAGACACTATGCGGATGTTCTGAGGGTCCACCTGACCATGCGAGGGGAAATGGGGAGGGGAGAGAGATGAGTGAGTGAGACGGGGAGCGAGAAGGGGAGTGAAATGGGGAGTGATATGAAGGAGGGAGGTTGGGATGGGATGATGCATCGGGGATGAACCCAACTTGCAGGGACCCACCTTGCAGGGACCCACCTTGCAGGGACCCACCTTGCAGGGACCCACCTTGACCCACCTTGACCCACCTTGCAGGGACCCACCTTGACCCACCTTGACCCACCTTGACCCACCTTGCAGGGACCCACCTTGCAGGGACCCACATTGACCCACCTTCTTTGCAAATTAGTGCCCTCTCTATCTCTACCCACCTTGGATGAGAAGAAGGCTGCTAGAAGTAAAGGCTACGCTCTTTCTGCCGCTCACCTTCTCACTGCCGTGTGCTCACCTTCTCGCCCCACACGCGGGTCGCCCCTCCTGCGAGCTTGAATCGCGAGAAGTTGGGGGAGCCGGCGTGCAGCATGCAGCGCAGCGACGTGGAGAGGTCCTTGGAGACACTGTCGCCAAACACGACCACCGTCTTGTTGCGGAAGAGATTGAGCAGGCGCTGGGGGGTGAGCTGCACCACCTTGCATCCCCACGGCTGCACAGGGTGGGAGGGGGGTGAAAGGGAGAGACAAGGTCCTTTGAGACTCTGTCGCCGAACACAACGACCGTCTTGTTGCGGAAGAGGTTGAGGATTCTCTGGGGGGTGAGCTGCACCACTTTGCACCCCCACAGCTGGAGAGGGAGGGAGGAGGTGAGAGGGGTGAAGGGAAGAGAAGGGGAGGGAAGGGGTGAAAGGAAGGGGATGAGAAGAGACAGATAAGGTCCTTTGAGACACTGTCGCCAAACACCACGACCGTCTTGTTGCAGAAGAGATTAACGAGTCGCTGAGGGGTGAGCTGGGTCACCTTGCATCCCCAGGGCTGGACAAGGAGGTACGGGAAGTGGGAAGGGTAGGAAGGCGGGGAATGAAGGGAAGGAAGGGAAGGAAGGGAAGGGAAGGAAGGGATATGTGGAGAGGTCTTTGGAGACGCTGTCGCCAAACACAACCTCCGTCTTGTTGCGGAAGAGGTTGAGGATTCTCTGTGGCGTCAACTGCGCCACCTTGCACCCCCACGGCTGGAGAGGGAGGGAGGAGGAGAGAGGGGTGAGAAGAGACCGATGAGGTCCTTTGATACGCTGTCGCCGAACACGACGACCGTCTTTTTGCGAAACAAGTTGAGCAGACGCTGAGGGGTTAATTTTACCACCTTGCACCCCCACGGCTGGAGAGGGAGGGAGGGAGGAGAGGGCAGAATGAGGACGTGGAGAGGTCTTTAGAGACGCTGTCGCCGAACACGACAACCGTCTTGTTGCGGAAGAGATTGAGGATTCTCTGTGGCGTCAACTGCACCACCTTGCATCCCCACGCCTGGTATGCACACAAAGACAAGCGGAGAGTAGGGAAGGGAAGAGTATGGAAGAGGAACGTGGAGAGGTCTTTGGAGAGGCTGTCGCCGAACACAACGACCGTCTTGTTGCGGAAGAGATTGAGACGCTGAGAGGTGAGCTGCGTTACGTTGCACCCCCACGGCTGGTGCCGAACACAACGACTGTCTTGTTGCGGACGAGGTTGAGGAGACGCTGGGGGGTGAGCTGCGTTACGTTCGCTGTAACGCGTAACGCGTATATGTGCTAGTAGCTCGTATGACCTACCCGCCAGCGCAGCTTCTGATAGCTCATATCGGAGCGCCCGGCGCTCTGGCAGTTGTGGCCGGAGCGGATGTAGGGACACGTCAGCCCGGTGTAGAGAGGAAGGTTCGCGGAAGGTGTCCAGCTTCCGGAGGAAATATCGCAGGTCCACGGTTTGGGGGAGTCTGGATTGGTCGCGTCTGGTGGTGAGGATGGGGTGGTGTGGGTGGTGGGGGGATGGAGGGGAGGAAAGGGGGAGGGGGATTTTTGAGACGGGGAGGGGAAAGTGGGGAGAGGAGGGGTGGGAGAAGGGGAGGAAGGAGCGACAATCACTAGCTTGGAGCGAAGGCCAAACGCGCCTTGAACCCGTGACTGAGGAAGAGATTATAATCCCGAAATTCTCAATGGCTGATTGTTGGGAAAGGGGCTTATTGGGGAAGGGGCTTACTGGGCAAGGGGCTTACTGGGCAAGGGAATTGCTGGGGAAGGGGCTTACTAGGGAAGGGGATGGGCGTGAGCTTCTTTTTGAAGCTGCTGTACGCCAAGGCGACGGGCGGACTTTTCTCGGCGATGGCGAAGAACAGCAGCCCGGTGAGCGATATAGTTACCAGACTTCGCCAATCTGCCGTCATCTTTGTCTGCTACTATGCCGTATGTCAACGAAAGCACCGCTCGTTACTTCTGCCGGTAAGGCGATTATTTAATCAAAGGTGACCTGACAACCACAGTCGTTACTATCAAGCCGTGCGTAAAGGCACTACTAAAGGAAAAGGGGAAGTAATCCCGCGTATTTTGAAACCCGGGCGGGAGAATCAAGCTCGCTGAGAGATCATATCCCTGGAGGCGCTTTAAGTAGCCGTGCGTAAACGTAAGCACCAACAGAAGAGCTACTAGTTGGGCTGGGGGAGAAGGAGACGGAGCGAGAGCATGAAATTAACGGCACGGGTGTGGGCGTGTGAGGAGTGCAAGATTCGTCGACCACCATAGCCCATGGTCAGGAATTGCTTTCGTAAGATATGAGACGAGCTTTGAGGAGAGCCTTGAATGACAGAACATATATGAGCCTTGGATCCACCACCACGGCCCACAGTCAAGAATTACTACAGTGAGTGATAGAAGGGTAAGGTGATAGCAATTTCGGTCGGCCTTCTTTGGCCCGTAGTCGATCAGTCGGAAGTATGTATGTAACCCAGGGTGGCAGGTCTGCGGCGCGAAAATGCGGCGCGAAAATGGAAGAAAAGCCTTCTAGTACTGATTCAGGTGAGATAGTGATGATAGGTCGATCGTAGGTCGCGGCTGCTGCAGAGTGAGAGAGTGAGCCTTTCTCCTCGGTTTTGGGGGTAACTGTGGAAGCCAACCAATGCGCAATCGACCCTGCTCAGCGCCGCCGAATGTGCTCGTTTGACGAAGTCGCACGGAGAAAGTCAGGCAGGGTGCATTCAGGTGGGCGTTCACTCGATTCGACGGGCCTTTCGCGGTTCGAGAGCTTCCGACCAGACGAGTTTCAGTTCTACTACTCAAGCAGGGAAGCCAAATGCCCTGGGTGAGGTGGTGGTGCAGGAAGGGTTGTGGTGCGGGAAGGGTGGTGGTGGGGCGCTAATTTTCGTTTCCTGCCAGTCTGCGCTGCAATGCAATTGCTGCGATGGTTGGTGGTGGACGGGGCAAGACGCCAGCAATGCACGGGACGGGACACATGGTTGGCCAACCCGCAGCAACAGATGTGATGGGATATGGCGGTTCGTAGGGGGAACATGGACATTGAAATCGTATGGGTGATTATGATGAAGGATGTTTTCGACCAATCCAGACCGTAAATTATAAGCAGGCAATCTCGAGTCGGCATGATCCGAGAGTTGGAAATTAGTGCAGTGACGGCTCGAGACACAAAAGGAAGCGAAGTCTTGGCGAAAGGTCACTGTGCTGGAAGTGCGACCCGATGCTCCTTAGTAGGTAACATCAATACATGTATAGAACTTCTTGACCACACAACGACTAGATGCTACAACACATTTATAATTGTTTGACAAAACTTCAAGTGCCAATCTTTAGACAATTTACTATACAACAGTTACGACTGCAGATGCAATATATTCTATAGTTTTCTCTCATCCACAAAAATAAGGGGGAAAATATTGACTAAAACAAGTCTAGAAGAGAAGATTGTTATACAGCATTTCAAGCCAAGTGTCTGTGACACCACCTTCACACCAATGAAGGCAATCGTTTTTCTTACCCGCTGGAGCCCCCCCTGCCAAAGACATGGGCGTAGTTGGACGAAAACCATGAGTATTAGCAAAAAAACAAACGTGGAGTTACTCTGCTTATGCACCACCAAATCCTCACCTTTCACCATCCATTTCTGGACATGGCCATCCGGGCGATAATAGCTCATAGGTGCAACATCCACGTAGCGTATCTGAGACCCTGACAGAACCCTCATCTGAATCTCCCGGAACTTGTCGCCCTTTGCAAGCTGCTCCGCCTGCACGTTGGACAAAAAGGCAGGAAACAGGCCAACTCATGATAATTCCGACAACAAAGTTATTGGAGTTAGAAGTTCTTTTATAACCATCACATGCAACCAAATCGAAGCGTGCCCCAAGTGTAAGATATTGTGCTCCGAGGATTGTGTTGGTCTTTATTGAACCTCTTCAGACTCAGAGCCTCATTGGGGGAAGGTGACATGAAACATGGCAGTGCCTTGTTGTTACAAATCAATGTCTTACCTGCTGTGCGGTGAGCATTTTGCTCGTCTCGCACGACCCCTCCTTCAGCCCGGGGACGTTGTAGTGGGAGGGGGACACACCCACCAGGGCAACGCGGCCCTTAAAGCCCGACTTGGCCACATAGTCGCGCAGAGTCTTGAGGCCAATCTCGTAAGCTGCCTCCTTGGTCAGCGATTGCTCCTTGCCACCCAAGTACCACTTGTTGATGGCAGGAAACCACCAGTTGGTGGCCTGAGAAGAGAAGAAGGATCAGTTCGGAAGTAAGGGGGAGATAGGTAAGACTTGCTAAGGAAAGAGTTGATCTCTCAGGCAGCCTTCCCTTGGCCAGCGATTGCTCTTTGCTGCCCACGTACCACTTGTTTATGGCGGGGAGCCACCAGTTGGTGGCCTGGTGGGGGAGAGAGCATGAGGAGGGGTTAGGAGACGTTGTATTTAGTGAGAGAATGTCTCGTATGTTTCCCCTCCTTGGACAGCGATTGCTGCTCGCTGCGCAAGTACCACTTGTTGATGGCGGGGAACCGCCAGTTGGTGGCCAGGGAAGAGAGGGGAGAACGAGAGAGGGGGGGGGTTAGGAGAGAGAGAGAGAGGGAGGGAAGGAGGAAGGGAGGGAGGGAGGGAGAGAGGAGCGAGGGAGGGAGGGAAGGAGGGAGGGAGAAGGTAGGGAAGGGGAGAAGGAAAAGCGTATGGAGGCCGGGAAGGGGAGGGAGAGGTGGGAGAAAGGGAGCAGTAAAGCAGACTACAGTGTGCAATTTCACCTGGAAAACGACAATGTCGGCCAGTGGCAGAAGGTCGGTGATCTGCGGATAGATCTTATCAAGGTCAACGCGATTCATGCTGCCGCCCAGCCCGCTCGCCTGGTTCAGCCAACGTCTGAGAATGCTAAAACCATACCTGGAAAACGACAATGTCGGCCAGTGGCAGAAGGTCGGTGATCTGCGGGTCGATCTTATCAAGGTCAACGCGATTCATGCTGCCGCCCAGCCCGCTCGCCTGGTTCAGCCAATTGGAGAACACCGACGCGAAACGAGTGTTGGAACGAGGAGCCTGGTTTGGGCTGCCCACAGGGAGGAGATAAGGAACTTGTGAAAACAAAGTCTTTGGCCCCGAATTGACTAACTATATTGGTTTACCTGTGTGTTGTCAGCAAATGAGGGGAAGGGGAAGAGGGGAGCGCGATTGTAAGTGTTGGAAGGGTAGGAACATGCTCACAGCCTTGCTTGCGTTTCACCTTACCTGGACAGTTCAGATCCCGTTCGTGTCGTTTCATCTCACCCTGACGCCGTACGCCTTGGTGTTGCCGTTGGCGATGCGGAAATCCTGGATGGTGCCGGGCGACGCGGAGTGTAGCACGCAAGCGACGGACCCAGCGAAATTCTTCGAGACGCTGTCGCCAAACACGAGCACGAGCTTGTTGCGAAAGCGCAACAGCAGGCGCTTCGGAGTCATGCGTTGCAATGGGCAACCTGCGGGCTGTGGGTCGAAAGGGGAGGGGGGAGGGAGAGGGGGATAAGGAGAAAGGTGAGGCCGAACACGAGCACCAGTGCGGAGGCGCATCAGCAGGCGCTTCGGCTTCATGCGCTGCAACGCGCAGCCTGCGGGCTGAAGGGGGAGAAGGGGACGGGGAAGGGGAGGGGGAGTGGGGGGATAAGAGAGGGGGAGGTAAGGAGTGAGAAGAATAGGGGGGGGGGGGGCGGCATTGCTGAGCAGATCGCACGCGATAAACACTCGTTCGCGGTCCTCCTGATAGTAAGCTTCGACGGCTAGGTTGTGGGTAGTGCCGCGCGGATATACAGGAAAAAGGGACGCGGAACGCGAGGTTGAAGTTCTAGTAATGTGCTCAAAACGCGTATACGTACCACCCATCTGTATTTCTGGAATTGTAGGTCGGGCCGTCCCTGGCTCTGGCAGTTCTGGCTGGAGCGAATGTACGGACACGTCAGCCCCGTGTAACGCGGAAGATGCCGGGCCGCGGAAATCCACCGTCCCTTCGAAATGTCGCAGTTCCATGATCCAGCGGCGACACTTGCATCTGCGTTGGTGAGGATGTAAATGCGAAAAGCAAGTTTGTGGGAATGTATTCGCGAAAAGCATGTTTGTGGGAATGTATTCGCGAAAAGCAAGTTTGTTCCAGGATCCAGCAGCGACACTTGTCCCATCTGTATTGGAGAGAATATGGTCGCGAAGAGCAAGCTCGTGAGGACTACGTCGCAAGAGCACGGTTGCGGAACACTAGTAGGTAATAGAGACGTTACGTGACGAAGCTATTGCGCGAGTATCAAGGGGAATGAGGGAGAAGGTTACGGTAGTGGTGACGCAAACCGGATACGGGAAACGGACGCAGTGCGGCAAAGGTGGCGGTAACGGAGCACACACAGTAGTGTGCGCTACAGACCCACGTACTTTGCGCGTTGGCGGTAGGGAGGTTCACAGCTGCTGCTAAGAGGCAAACGGAGAGAAGCAGCATGTCACGTGTTGGAGACATCGTGAGGAAGTAGCGGGCTGTGTAAGGGCTGCGCCGAATGTGCCTCGACTATCAATCGACTCTGCCCTTTATTACGCTGTTCACTAAGGTCTGCTCAGGTGCTCGTACTGCAAGCTTTCGAAACGGAATGGTTTGATATGAAGTATTGCGGTGGCGCAGATTCATCTCATAACCAGTCACCCTTGCCTGCCAAAAAATGATGACGGCTCTTTGTAGCAGCCATGCATCCCACAAGACCGGAATTGTGTTGCTTGTGAACAACTAGTTGGGAAAGCAAGATGGATGGACCGAGCACTCAAGGGGAGCACTCGTGGAACATGAGCGGCGCTTGTCAAGAAGACGCGTCTCGTCCAAATTTTATGCCGTACATTCTTTTGAGAGTCCGTAGATTTGGGGTTCCGGGGGCTTGAAATATAACAGTCCGAGAGCGTGAAGTGTAGTCAGTTCGCAAATCACGAGCCATCGCTGCTGCTGCCCACTTCCACAGCAAACTTTCGGGCATTCGCTGAAAGTATCGCCTACCAAGGACTTCTCTTTCGTAAGCTCCCGGTTTACAGGGCACGGAATTCTTCCGAGTGTTTGAGGTCAATTCAAAACTCACAATCTCGGGCGCATGTTCATCCGCCGACATGTCCAAATTGAGCAGTGAGCTCGACCAAGCGCACTAGGCGGTTATGACGGCGCCGCGTGATTCGGCCATAAGATGTACATGTACTATGTTATTGAGGTTCATGTCTTCCTTCCGTACAGACTACCATACAGAAAAAAACATTCCAAAACTCCATCTTTATGTCAATAATGTGTTGTACAGCATCTCAAGCCAAGCATCAGTAACTCCAGCTTCACACTAGTGTAGGCAGTAATCCTTTTCATTCGAAGTTCCCAATTGAGGCGAAATGAGGATTGGTTAATTGGAGTGCAATGACGGCTCGAGACACAAAAGGAAGCGAAAGTTAATTGTATTGGAAGTGCAACCCGATGCTCCTCAGTAGGTAATATGAATACATGTATAGAACGTCTTGACCGCACAAAAACCAGATGCTACAGTACAATACATTCATAAAATGTTTGTCAGAACGTGCCAATGTTCACGACAATTCACTATACAACAATTATTGCAAATACAAGTTTAGAAGAGAAGACTGTTATAGAGCATTTCAAGCCAAGTCTGTGACACCACCTTCACACCAATGAACACAATCGTTCTTCGTACCCGCTGGAGCCCCTCCTGCCAAGACATGGTGTAGTAGGACAGAAAACATGAGTGTTAGCGAAAAACAAGCGTGGTGAAGTTAGGGTCATTCGTATCGAGTGTCAGACATCAAGTCATCAGCCCTTAGTAAAAAAATTGCCTCTTCAGAACTCGATTTTGCCTCACAAACGGGCCACTTTGGGTCTTCCGAGCCTCCACTTCGTGTCTGACCTGATGTCTGACACGGGCTACGAATGCACCCTTACTCTGCTTATGCACCACGAAATCCTCACCTTTCACCATCCATTTCTGGACATGGCCATCCGGGCGATAGTTACTCATAGGTGCAACGTCCACGTAGCGTATTGGAGACCCTGACAGAACCCTCATCTGGATTTCCCGGAAATTGTTACCGGTGCTGTCCCCTTTTGCAAACTCCTCTGCCTGTGTGTTGGACAAGATGGAGGGAAGCAGAAAACAGGGTAAATCACAACAAAATAGAGTTTAGAAAAAAAAAAACACGAAGAAGCAATCAAGCAAGCAAGCAAACAAAGATTGCGTGTGCAACAGAACTCATGTCGCTCACTTGTTCCATCATGTGCTGCAATGTTATTGATGGTCTCTATTGAACCCCTCTTCAAACGCGGAGCCTCATAGTGGGAAGGCGACATGATGCATAACAATGCCTAGCACCAGTCCCTCGTAACGTGACATATAACACATTCATGATAAGATCCCTTACTGTTACAAATAAATGTCTTACCTGTTGCGCTGTCAGCATTCTGCTGGTCTCACACGACAACTTTTCCAGACCAGGGACCTTGTAGTGGGAGGGGGACACGCCCAGCAGGGCAACACGGCCCTTAAAGCCCGACTTGACCACATAGTTGCGCAGAGTTTTGAGGCCGATCTCGTAAGCCGCCTCCCTGGAGAGTGTCTGCTCCTTGCCACCCAAGTACCACTTGTTGATGGCAGGGAGCCACCACTTGGTCGCCTGGAGGCGAGAAAGAAGGGAGGGAGGGAGGCCTTTGCAGGCCGAAACGCGTTTGCACGCGCATCCGGGCCTATGTGTTTCTTCTTAACTGTTGATTGCCGGGAGCCACTTTTGAGTCGACTCAAAAGTCAACGCGTTCGCATGCGCATCCGGGCCTATGTGTTTCGTCTTAACTGTTGATTGCCAGGAGTCACCACTTGGTCGCCTGGAGGGGAGAAAGAAGGGAGGGATGGAGGGAGGTAGACTGGGACGTAGGGAGGGAGGGAGGGAGGACGTGAGAATACTGCACTATACAATTGGTGAAGGAGAGATAGAAAAGGGTGTGGGGATGGCGTTGGCGGGGAAAGGGGAGGGTGGGGAGGGAGAAGGGGAGGGAGGGGAGGGGAAAAGGAGGGTAGCAGAGCAATCTTAAGTGTGCAAGCTCACCTGGAAAACGACAATGTCTGCCAGTGGCAGGAGATCAGTGATCTGTGGGTCAATCTGATCCAGGTCAACGCGGTTCATGCTGCCGCCCAGCCCGCTCGCATGGTTCAGCCAATTGGAGAACACCGACGCGAAACGAGTTCTGAAATGAGGAACCTGAATCGGGTTACCAGCATGGACGAGGGGAGGAGGTGGGAAAGGGGGGGGAAGGGGGAATGAGAAGTCTCTAAAGTAGTTCCGAGTCGCGTGGTTCGGCCAATTGGAGAAGACCGGCGCGAACCGAGTGTTGGAACGCGGAACCTGAATCGGTTTTGTTAACAGGGGGAAGGAGGAAATTGGGGCGAGGGAGTAAAAGTGGGGGGAGGGAGGGAAAGTGGGAAATAAGCGTTGAAACAAGGAACCTGAATTGTATTACCAAGAGGCAAGAGGGGAGGAAATAGTTTTGAGTTGACTCAAGATTCAGCCAGTCAATGAAGACCCTGACGTGTCGTTTCAACTCATCTCTCCCTGACGTGTCGTTTCAACTCATCTCACCCTCACGTGTCGTTTCAACTCATCTCACCCTCACGTGTCGTTTCAACTCATCTCACCCTGACGTGTCGTTTCTTCTCATCTCACCCTGACGTGTCGTTTCTTCTCATCTCACCCTCACGTGTCGTTTCATCTCATCTCACCCTGACGCCGTACGCCTTGGTGTTGCCGTTGGCGATGCGGAAATTCTGGATGGTGCCGGGCGACGCGGCGTACAGCACGCACGCGACGGACCCGGCGAAATTCTTCGAGATGCTGTCGCCAAACACGAGCACCAGCTTGTTGCTAAAGCGCTTCAGAAGGCTCTTCGGAGTCATGCGCTGCAACGCGCAGCCTGCGGGCTGAGGGGGCGAAGGGGATGGGGAAGGGGAGGGGGAGGAGAAAGGGGAAGGGGGGGGGAAAGAGGAAATGGGAGGGAAAAAGGCGCGGATTGTGGTTGGCAGCATGAAGCGGGAGTAGCTCGCATGCGCGACGTATGCGACGAATGCGACGCACACGGCGGACGCGACGGGAGTCATGTGTTCTTGGAGGCGCTGTCGCCGAACACGAGCAACAGCTTGTTGCGGAAGCGCGTCAGCAGGCGCTTCCGCGTCATGCGCTCAATGCGCAACCTGCGGGCTGTGGGGGAGGGGGAGGGGAAAGGGGGAGCGGGGAGAAAGAGAGGGTGAGGTAAGGATTGAAAAGAACTGAGGGGGGGGGAGGGGGAGGGGGGGGGGGGGGGGGGGGGGTTGCACGAGACGGACACTCTTTCGCGATCCTCCATAGTACCGCGCGGATATACAGGAAAAAGAGAGGCGGAACGCGAGGTTGAAGTTATAATGTGCTCATAACGCGTATACGTACCACCCATCTGTATTTCTGGAATTGTAGGTCGGGCCGTCCCTGGTTCTGGCAGTTCTCAGTAGAGCGGATGTACGGACACAGTCCCGTGTAACGCGGGAGATGAAGGGGCGCGGAAACCCACTGCCCCTTCGAAATGTCGCAGTTCCAGGATCCAGCCGCGGCGGCGACAGTTGTCCCATCTGCGTTGGTGGGAATATGATCGCAAGAAGCAATTTTGTGTGAACGTATTCGCGACAAGCAAGCTTGTGGGAATGTATTCGCAAAAAAGCAAGATTGTTCCAGGTTCCAGCGGCGACAACGTCGCATCCGCGTTGGTGAGAACGGAATTGCGAAGGGAAGTTCGTGAGGATCAATGTCGCTGGAATGCGGTAGTGGAACACTAGTAGTAGGTAATAAGTCGTTAGACGAAAGTAATGCATGACTGTTACGGGACATGACGGGGGAACGGTAACGGTGACGGAAACGGAGGCGGGAAAGGGACGTCACGTCAAGGTGGCGGGTAACTGAGCACACAGTAGTGTGCGGTACAGCCCCACGTACTTTTCGCGCTGGCAGTAGGGAGGCTTGAAGCTGCTGCTAAAAGGCATACGGAGAGAAGCAGCAGATGACGTGTTGGAGACATCGTGAGGACGTAGCGGGCTGTGTATGGGCTGCGCCGAATGTGCCACGACTATCAGTCAACTCCGAATGGAGTCCACGCTTGATTACCCTAAACAGCGCAGTTCACTAAGGTCTGCTCAGCTGCTCGTGCACTGCAAGCTTTCAAAATGGAATGGTTTGACGTAAGACGTAATGGCGCAGAATCTTCTCATAACCAGTCACCCTAGCCATACCAGAAATCGATGACGGCTGTCTGTAGCATGGATTCCACAAGACGGGAGTTCCGTTGCTTGCGTTGCGAATGATGAGTTGTTTGGTGGGTGGAAAGGAAAATGCATGGAACGCGAGTGGCGCTTATCAAGAGACAGTCGTGGATCAGGGGAGCACTGATGAAACAAGAGCGGCGCTTATCATAAGAGGGCTCGTCCAAAAAAAATCGCCGTACTAACTTACTTTGAGAGTCCGAGGGGGTGAAGTGTAGTCAGTTCGCAAATCACGAGCCATCGATGCTAATGCCCACTTCCTCCGCACAGTTGGGGAATTCGCCGAAAGCATCGCTTACCTAGGTTTTTGCTTTCGTAAGCGCCCGGCCCAGATTACTGGGCCACAGAATTCTTGTTTCAGTTAGTGGTCAATTCACAACTCACTCGGGCGGGCGCATTCTCATACACCGACATATGTGCGATCCGAATCGAGCCTGCAACGGAACTCGTCCCACGAGCAGTAATCTCGAACAGGCGCACAAGGCGGTTATGACGGCACCGCGCGATTCGGGCCTGGAATGTACATATACCTGTTATTGAGATTCATGTCATCCTCCAATACAAACTACCTTACGGAGAAAACACTTCAAAAATTCTATCGTTATGTCAAGAATGTGCTGTACAGCATCTCAAGCCAAGCATCAGTAACTCCACCTTCACACCAGTGTAGGCAGTCGTCCTTTTCATTCGAGGCTCCTCCTGGAGGCGACATCAGGGAGAAAATGGGCGACATATTTGAAATCAATATGGATGCAATTAAAGCACAATTGGTTAACATCAATATACATCCCTACCTCTATTAGACACACACATGCGTACCTGGGGTAGTCCATTTTTGCAGATGTCCATCGGGTCGCCAGGAGCTCATGGGAAGAATATCCACATAGTGGATAGGGCTACTGAGTAGCACCCTCATCTGCACCTCTCGAAATGCCCTCGCTTTCTTCTGTACTCTCAAAACCTTTTTCGTCTGGCAAAGAAAAATGATTTAGGAAACGAAGGGGAGAAGGGTCATCAGCAAGCAAAAAGGGGAGGAAGAGCTGCTGACATGGCAAAGATGTTGGTCGCAAAAACATCCAATGAATCGTGACGGGACCTTCTTGGTGACTTGTGATGGTTCTAGGTTGAAATTTGAAAATCTGTTTGTTAGGAGCGAATACCTGGTTCCATGTCAGCTTCTGATTGGTGGAGCACGAGTTCTTGGGCAGCCCGGGAACTCTGTAGTGCGAGGGTGAAACACCCATAAGCACAGCTCTACCAGAAAATTTGGATCTGGTTACAAAGTTACGGAGAGTGGTGAGCCCGATGGCATAGGCATCAGCCTGGCTGCTTGGGACAATCTCCCTTCCGCTCTGATACCACCGGTTCGCCTTCCAGAACCACCAATTCGTGGCCTGGGAGGAGAGAGGGGGAGAGACATTGTGAGTGAGTGTCCGCATGCGAGTGAGTGGGCAATGGTCCACGAGGGCAGCGAACAGTGGGAAGAGATAGGCTCTATGGAGTAACGGGTAACAAACAAGGATGAGGGACAATTAGAAGATAAGGAGTAAGAAGTGACAAGAACGAGTATGAGGGACAATTAGAAGATAAGGAGTAAGAAGTGACAAGAACGAGGATGAGGGACAATTAGAAGATAAGGAGTAAGAAGTGACAAGAACGAGGATGAGGGACAATTAGAAGATAAGGAGTAAGAAGTGACAAGAACGAGGATGAGGGACAATTAGAAGATAAGGAGTAAGAAGTGACAAGAACGAGGATGAGGGACAATTAGAAGATAAGGAGTAAGACGTGACAAGAACGAGGATGAGGGACAATTAGAAGATAAGGAGTAAGACGTGACAAGAACGAGGATGAGGGACAATTAGAAGATAAGGAGTAAGAAGTGACAAGAACGAGGATGAGGGACAATTAGAAGATAAGGAGTAAGACGTGACAAGAACGAGGATGAGGGACAATTAGAAGATAAGGAGTAAGACGTGACAAGAACGAGGATGAGGGACAATTAGAAGATAAGGAGTAAGACGTGACAAGAACGAGGATGAGGGACAATTAGAAGATAAGGAGTAAGACGTGACAAGAACGAGGATGAGGGACAATTAGAAGATAAGGAGTAAGACGTGACAAGAACGAGGATGAGGGACAATTAGAAGATAAGGAGTAAGACGTGACAAGAACGAGGATGAGGGACAATTAGAAGATAAGGAGTAAGACGTGACAAGAACGAGGATGAGGGACAATTAGAAGATAAGGAGTAAGACGTGACAAGAACGAGGATGAGGGACAATTAGAAGATAAGGAGTAAGACGTGACAAGAACGAGGATGAGGGACAATTAGAAGATAAGGAGTAAGACGTGACAAGAACGAGGCTGAGGGACAATTAGAAGATAAGGAGCAAGACGAGACAAGAACGAGGCTGAGCGAAGGAAACAAATGGAAACGGGGACAGTGGTGCTAACACAACACACCTGGAAAACGACAATGTCAGCAAGTGGCAGCAGATCCACCACCTGCGGATCCACCTGATCCAGGTCAATCCGGTACTGTAGCTTCGGAGTGGGCATCTGCGCTCCGGTTAAAAGCCATTTGGAAAAAACCGAGGCGAATCTGAGTCCGTGAGAGGGCAGCTGTATGCCCTCTGCTGTGCTGCTGCCCCTCTGGATCGTGAACGGCTGCACTGTTACGTTGTTGTTACCAGCAGCAGCAGCAGCAGCAGCAGCGTGCAGGACGCATGCAATGGAAGAAGCGAGGTTCTTTGACACGCTGTCACCAAACACGAGAACGAGCTTCTTTCTCAGAGCGTGGAGCAGGCGCAGTGGGGTGAGGCGACTGATGCTGCATGAATAGGGCTGGGGAATGGGATCAGAAGGTATGACATGACAGACGTGAGGGAGAAAAGGTGGTATTCTTTGACACGCTGTCGCCGAACACGAGGACGAGCTTGTTTCTCAGAGCGTGGAGCAGGCGCAATGGGGTGAGGCGACTGATACTGCAGGAATAGGGCTGGGGAATGGGATCAGATGGTATGACATGACATGTGTGAGGGAGAAAGCGAGGTATTCTTTGATATGCTGTCACCGAACACGCGAACAAGCTTGTTTCTCAGAGCGTGGAGCAGGCGCAGTGGGGTGAGACGGCTGATCCTGCAGGAGAAAGGCTGAGAAAGGGAGGAAGATGGTGGGAGAGGGATACAAGGGAGCTGTGGCAGCATGACAGGCGTGGGGAAGGCAGTGAACCGTGAGCTTGTTGCTCGCTCTTGGACACGCTGTCACCGAACACAAGAACGAGCCTGTTTCTCAGAGCGGGGAGCAGGCGCAGTGGGGTGAGACGGCTAATCCTACAGGAGAGGGCTGGGAAGGGGGTGACGATGGTGAGAGCCGGGCAGCAGCAGATGAGGGAAGCAGCAGAGCTCTTCTATACGATGTCGTCCAGCACAAGGACGAGCTTATAGCGCGTACGTACCACCCATCTGTATTTTCGGTAGGAGAGGTCTGTTCTGCCGAGCCTCTGGCAGTTCTGGCTGGATCGGATGTACGGACACGTGAGGCGGGTGTAGAGCGACTAATGAAGGGGAGGCTCCTGTTTATAGCGCGTACGTACCACCCATCTGAATTTCTGGTAGGAGAGGTCTGTTCGCCCTAGTTTTTGGCAGTTCTGGCTGGATCGGATGTACGGACACGTCAGACCCGTATAAAAGGGAATGCTCCACGCGCGCTGCCACTTTCCCGCAGCTATGTTGCACGTTTGGTTACTGGCAGGAACATGAGGGGAATCTGGAATGGGAGGGGGAGAGGAGGGAGAGTGGAGGGAGAGA